TTTAAATTTGTTTATAATAATTTTTTATTAAAAATTTTTTTTTTTTAATTTTTTCTTTAGTTTACTTTTATATTTTTTCATTTAATTTGTATTTTTTTAGTTTTAAATTTTTTTTATTTAAATATTGTGTTTTTTTTCATTTTCTCATTTCACCTCTCACACACAATTTATTTCGGATTGACAATCGCCGCCGCAGCTACATATTTATACACACGCACTCGTGGTTTGCATTGACTAAACAAAAACAGACTTGCTGACACTGCAGCAGCGCGACCGCATTGCGGCTAATGCACACAGCCCAGAGCCATTCACCGCATGGATCATGTTGTTTTTGGCATTCCGGGGATTGTTTGTGCTTTTTTTGTATTTTTCGTATTTTTTTGTTGCACATATGTATTTTTGGCTATCCGCTAGTGCTCGCCGCACATTTCAAGTTGTACGAGTATGCAGATTTGTGTGCTGCTGCATGGTGCCACACTTCAGATTTTCGCAGTTCGTTCACTGTTCCCTTAGATTTGAGATTTCGCAATTTTCGTCTTGCAACCCTCCAACAAGTGTGTATGTAGAGGTGTGTATATATGAGTGTTTTTGTATGTGTGTGTGTGTGTGATATTGTGATTTATTTTAGCCGGTAAGTATGAGCCATAATTGAAATTATCAAAATGTTATTAGACATAAATAAAATTTCGATTGTTGCAATAAAACGGTAATCACCTTTTTATCTTTATAACTGGTACACACGGGTGTACATATGTATGTATGTATGTATTTCGATTGCACTTAAACACCTTTTAACAGTTGTTATAAATTTTTGTTTGTTTTCTTTTTTTTTTTGAACCGCAAGGAACGAGTAAACGTGAAAAAAAGTGACGAAAAAATGTATAAAAGTAACAGGAAAAATTAATAAAAACAACAACAATAATAAATAATAGAAGAGACAACAAAGAAGTATGAAAAGCAGCAACAACAAAAAAACAGAAAATAAAACAACGAGAAAATTTAATTTTTTTTAAGTTAATAAAATTAACAACAAAAATTATATTAAAAAACAACAATAGAATAAAACAAAACAAAATTTATAAAAGAAAAACTTAATAAAAGCAACAACAAAAATGATTTTAAAAACAACAACAACAAAAAATCACGAAAGAAACCTATAAATTAATAAATAAAAGCAACATAAAAAAAATTATTCGAAAAAATAAGCAACAACAAAAAATTAATATAAGAACACAATGAAAACACACATTAAAAGAAAACAGCGAAAAAATTAATAATAACAGCAACGAAAAAATTTTAATAACAGAGAACAAAGAAAAATATGACAAAACGCAGCAACAACAAAAATTTATAAAAACTATAAGAAAAATTAAATAAAAGAAAAAAACGAAATATAATAATAAAAGAAACAACAAAGAAAAAATTAAGAACAAAATAATTAGTAAAAAAAAACCAACAACAAAACAAATAAATAAAATACAGTAAAGAACTAAGAAACCAAAAAAAAATATTGAAAAAGAAAAAAAATTTCGGTAATAACAACAAGTAAAACCTTAAAACACAAATTAATAATATTTTATTTAATAAACACACACATACATATACATATATGTACACACATATGTGTATGTAGGTATGCATAGACGCGTAAAATAAAAGTACCGCAGCGCGATCACAAGACACGACGTTTGCTTTTTGGTTTGTCCGTTTGTTATGCCGCTTATTAGACAGTACACAGCGATCGATCGCACGCACGTAGACACATCGCTTTGGCCACTTCTTCGTCTCAAGTGGGTTTCCTTAGTTAATTTATTTGTAATAATTTAATCACCTTTCTTTTCTCGTTTGACCGTTCGTTCACAATTTTCAATTAAACGCCGTTTTGCGCCAAGTTCGCGTGTATCGAGTTCAACAGTCGTCAACTAACTGCTCGGCGTCGTCACCGACAATTGCTGATCACTAGTACTGGAGCTGGAGCTAAACAGAGCTGGCTGCTGGCTGTTGGCTGTTTGCTGTTTTGCTATCGGCGGCTATCGTTGCCGTTGTCGTCATTCTCGTTGCTGTTGTTGCCTGCTGTCGGTATTGACTGCCGTTAATACGTATGTAAATATTTATGTACAGCTGATGTGTTGCCTGATCGACATTTCGGAAGTTGGCCAAAAGCGCCGCATAAGCGTTGTGCTTGTCTACGCCGGCGATAAGGGTGACCAGTCCACAAATCTTTAGCTACACGAGTACTTTGTTTGTATACTCGGGTTACCTATCGGAGCGTTTGTTGAGCACTTATTGTACAGAACACTCTTATTGAGACTGCGAATCAATATTGCTATGGTATATGGCGGAACTACTGCAGTGATTCCGGCCGTTCGAAATAAAAAAATAAAAAAATTTACATAATGGCGTTTAAAAAATTGGGCGGCTACACTTTAGAAGGCTGTAATTCAAAGACTATTTGAGATATCGATTTAAAATTTTAGTAGGTTATTTTTAAGGGTATAACCAATCGAAACTACTTATCAAAATTGCAGGAAGGAAGATGAGGTGGAAACATCTAGACACTTTCTCTTTCAATGTCAAGCTGTCGCCAGCCTAAGGTTGAAGCACCTTGGTTGCCATACTTTCTACGAATCCGACGAACTGGCTGGAGTTTATTTGGAGGATATTAGCCTGCTCAATAAACTTGTGGCCGGCCCTAGGCAGCTTGCAGATATACGACGGTCTTTTTGATCCGTACTTAGCAGTTCTGGGCATCACAACGGACAAGCGTCTCTAGCAAGGCAAGTTGGATTATTCGTGATCCCACGAATAACAGCCTATTTACCTAACCTAACTTAACCTAACATAGTGTAATCGGCTCCTAAAACTATAACGCGTTTTAATCGAAACGCTGTTTTCAGAAGTTGTGAGGAAAATTTCATTGAAATGTCTGGACCGTTCGTCTCAAAATTTGCACACGACCTTTTCAGATATATTTGTCAATTAATCAATTATTGAAGGAATAAAATTATTTATAATAATAAAATGATTTTTAAGCCCACCTGAAGTGTGAAATTTTTCATCAAACACGACTTTTTTTGGAAACTCGCCATTTTGTCAAAAATTAAAATTTTTACAAGTCCTTCGATCATTACCTGTTTTTATCTATAGTAATAATAATTTTTTTGGCTTTTGGATTTTAGATAATTTTAATTAGAAAAATCTTTCGAAGGTCCTGCTGGCGATCAGCAACAGGATCAAGTGAATTTAAAATTTTACAATAAGAAACGCTGATTATAAAAGCATAATACATTAAATTCTCTAAATGTACATATTTTTTATTTATTTATTAACAATAAGGAGAGAAAGACACTCGAGGTTATCCATAGACCTCATCTAAGAACATCTTGCTTCTCACATGAAGTTCTATTTGTTGCGGAAATTTTTTTTATTTTGTTTATCAATTACCGAATTCGCAAAAAATAATTACAGATAAAATGTTTTTTTACATTTTTAAATTATTATATGGTATATGTATAATATTGTTCTACTGAGAAAACAGTGAACATATCCATTTGAAAATATGAGGAGAAATTTTCAAATCATAATAATATTTCACAAAAGCAAAAAAAAATCAAGTAAATGTTGGTAAAATATGTATCTCATATGTTATTTAAAGAAAAAAACAATTTTTTAGCTGGCCACCTTAGTTCAGACATCAATCATTCATACAAAATCACACATACGCAAAAATTAGTACATACTTGTGTAGGTACATACATACCTCTTTTCCGAAGCGACCAAGTGCTTTCATAACAAATTCCCTTATCCAAAAATCGCGAATGATCAGTTCAACCCGTTTCAACCCCCTTCAGCGTGCGATTAAAGGTGGATATGCGCGCGCAGCAGCTGAGGCACTGCATTTTAATAATGAATGTCTAAAACAAATTAAAAACAACTAAGCAGCTACAACAAAAAATATGATATAAAATCTTGACACATTAAGTTATAAAAGCAAAGAACACATTGATTTCACTATAAATTGAACACATAAGCACTTTAGTATGCATATATTTACGCATAAATTGCATTTGCACTTCCTTGGTCTAGAAACCACAAAATAAAATATTAAAGAGGAAGCCAACTGACGTTGAATTATTTGTTTTCGTTGCACATAAAAAAATACCGGCGCACTTTAGTTAAACGAAAGCTATATTACACACTAGTTGATATTCCACGCTTTTTGAAGTTGTTAACCTTTTCAAGGATCTTTGATTGTCAAGGTGACTACGTTCAATGTTTTAATATTCGTCAGCAGTTGTTGCGTATGCAATCGATATAACGTTTTTGCGCCGCACTAGCAGGCAGAATAACTGCTTTTCAAAACGAGTTTCGGTTTACCACAATTTTTGTAAAGCCATCTCACGCCCATTGTATAACAAACAAAACAAATCACTGCAGTTTTAAGTTTAGCGCCGTTATTGATAATTTACAGTAGTCCCACATTTTTTGGAACTCCATTCGAAATTTTTAAAACATGTATACAGTTATTTACTAAAGTTTGTAGTAGATTTAATTAATAACTACTTTTCTTACTGCTCACTTCTCGTTGATATTCTTTGTTTTGCTCTGCATGCGTTTCGCCGCAAAATGTCAAGTTAGCCAAGATGCACACCATATGCGGTAAATATGATGTTGCCAGCATGTACGAAAGTTATTTTAAGCAATTTAATAAAATGTCATAAGAAACGAAATAATAAAATATTCAAGTGATGCTGTAGTTTGCAATCGCAAAATCATAAATATTTCAATGCTTAAATACAAAGCTACTTACCATACTCTTATTTCGTTAATTTGGCATTTTCAAGTGTGATTCGCTAAAAACTAATGCGAAATTTAAACAATTTTTTTTTTTAAATTAAGTAAATTCATATGATTTATATATTAAATTGCTTAAAACCAACTTATTTTAGTTCTATCTATAATTTCGTTATTCCTTGTTTTTTTGGTTATGGCACCTTTATTTTGTTATTTTCCTTTATACTAACTTTCATAAACTGATTTTCGCCTTGCTTTTGGCAAAAATCTTTCTGGCAACTCTAACGAAGAAACAGAAGCAGAAAACATAAAAAGGGCCAGGACAAAAGTGTGAAAATTTTCGTGAAAATTTTATTTTGTGCGCTGTTAATAAACAAATACTGTGCTGTGTATTTCGTAATTGTTATACTCAATGATTCTAATGTTTACAAAATGAAACTGACAATTAAATCATGGACTGGCGTAGCAACTTGGCGATGGATCGCAAATGATGAAAATTGCGGCATCTGTCGAATGTCTTTCGAGAGTAAGTGCCGGAGCACCATTTATCAAATACAATTTTTAAATATAAATATTACACAAACAAATTCAATTATTTTCATATTATTATATTTTTTTTTATAATAGGTACCTGTCCGGAGTGTTCGCTACCTGGTGACGATTGTCCTTTAGTGTGGGGCGTGTGCTCACACTGTTTTCATATGCACTGCATTGTTAAGTGGTTGAATTTGCAAACTATGAATAAGCAATGTCCCATGTGCCGCCAAAGCTGGAAATTCAATATACATTGAGCAAAAACAACACTTGCTTAGTTGCAAAAGAAAAATAATAATAATTTCGTAAAAGTAATTTATAGTGTGTATTATATGCGAGTGTAACGCGCGAATAAAATCAATAACAAATTTATATAGATATCATTAATATTAAAGAAAATACAATATACATATGAGATTAGCAAAGGAACGTTCACGTGAGCGTGAAATGGATAGTGAACTGAATAAATTATGTTTGCCGGGTTTACCGCCACTGCCAAAAAGTTTAAGCACAGCAGCTGCTGCAGGCGTTTCATCGGCCGCCTCCTCAGCAACGCATTCGAATACTGCGTCACCATTAAACAACCACCATCATCATCATCATCATGCATTGCACGGTGTCGAGAGTGTGGATCTGTTTTTGGGACCCTCAACATCGGCGGCCGCCACGCGTAATCACTACCGACACGGCAGTTTGTCGTCGACGCAAGAGTCTTTGAGCGATCGTGAAAGTATACATAGTCGCGCCTCTTCGTCGCACAGCAGTCATCATACGCCCACAAATACCAATACAGACAATGGAGGCACATCTATTTCGCTTAGTGGTGGCAGTGGTAGCAGCACAACCAGTACGTTGGACACACAACTAGCCATATTGCGTCGTGAAATGTATGGACTGCGACAGTTAGATCTATCTTTGCTCTCACAATTATGGGCACTCAACGAATCGATTCAGGGATTCCGTGTATTTCTACAAGAACAAGAAGCGCTCTCACCGCCATCTCCCTCACCAACGCCATCTGACACTAATTCGCTTACATCAGAGGCTGAAGAGGAATCATATTCAGCGCAACCATTGAAATTAGCACATCCTATTGTTGCACAAGCATCTTTACCACCCGGTGGCTCGATAACATCGCACGCTTCAACAAGTTCAGCGTCTGGCACATCGGGCTCCTCATCGGCTACCTCTTCGATGGGTAAGCATGGCGGTATGCCATTACCGCCAGCACCACAAAAGACACACCCACAGCTGCCACGTATCTTGCAGCAACGTATGCGTCGTGCACCGCCGCCACCGCCACCAACAACACGACCCAAAACGACTAAAGACGCAATGGCGGCAGCCAATGGCGCAACAACGACATCAATACCACAAAGACCAGCATGACAAAACCCATTCTTGGATTAAGCATGCATGCAACGTTAAGTGTTTGCTTAATTCAAGAATGTTACTCTAAACCAAGATTTATAACTCGTAAACTACAAAAAAGTTTTGTGAGTGTAGCACGTATAGGCTTGTTGCCATTTGGGAATATAGGTGCAAGTCGTAAAGACAAATGTTGTCAATTATGTGTTGCGATTGTGTCGCCATGTAGGAAGAAAAACTGACAAGTAGACGTTGAAGCGCAATTATGAATAACAAAATCAAAATATATTCAGTGGATTTAATACTTGCGTATTTCGAAAGTGTATTTTAGAAGCTTGCAAACGGTAAATATTTGCGATAGAGAATTTAGCGTTTAATTTTAAAAATTAAAGCGCGTTTTATTCAGTGCGTTCCATGCAATTGTATCTAGTATGTAAGCGCGTAAGCTAATCAAAATGTAATGAATGAAATATCGGTGTCGTACTGTACACATATTCCCAAATATTGCTGTTAAAGGGTTAAAAAAAAAAACACAAGAATTGTAACGAATTGAATATCAAACTTTTTAGATATACGAAAATATTTGTTAATACATCTTGCTATAGACAGTTTAAATATTTTCCAATAAACACAAACTTACATACACAACCCACATGCACAACAACCTGAACACATCTGTAACCGGAATACACACAATGCATCCTAAAACCATGCTGCATTTACATATAAAAGAGATTTTGCACCAATATGCGATATCGTTATTCGCTCCACTCCATTGTTACCCCTTGGTGGTCACCATTAACGTAAATTATACTAGGAACTATGACGAAGACGATAAACAAAAACGATCTTAGCTGATTTTAGCCTAATCCATACCATAAATAAACCTAAAACGAAGTAGCAATAGACGTTCAATTTATATTCAGAAATTGCAAACAAATATATAAATTACTTACATAAATAATAAACAGCTGCACAAGTCAACTTACAGCTTATTTCAAAATATTCGTTCGTTTAACGTAACACTGCAATGTTGTTTGTTCTCAACGAGTAATTCAATGCATGCGAGCACTGATAACAGCAAATGCAAAAACTTCATAACATTTTTCAAGTTCAGCACATACGTTGTTGTAAATGTCACTAATTGCTTCGGTAATATCAAGTGCACTTGTGCAGCAGTTTATTAAATAATAACGAATCAAGATCATCATTAATACATATACATACATAAATATGGCGTATTACATCGATCTAAATATTTAAATTAATTTATAAATCATTAAAAAAATTTAAAAATAATATTAAAGCGAAAATTATAGTTGTACTGCAAGCAGCATTAATAAGCGTTGTCAGTTATACAAAAAATAAATGCTAAATAAAATTAAAAAAATACATAAACGCATTCGCATTCATATATGCATAATATTAATAAAGTAAAAATCTACTTTGAAAATAAGCTAAGCTAAAGTAAAACTTGTTCTCGTTCAATCGTTATAATCAAGCTCCTATTATAAAGAAACTACTCCACTAATTTATACTCGAACTATTTTCTTTATAAATATCCTGGTGGTGGTTGATAAGCGCCAGTCGTGTAAAGCATGTGCCGCTTTAAAGAAATTATATAGTAGCAGAATTTCTTAGACTGCAGATATACCTACTGTAAAATTGTTTCTAAGCGTGTAATTGTTTTTACAAGCACTCAAAATTATAAATTTTCTCCAAATATATTGATTTGTAAACATGTTTGAATTACACATATGCATATTTAATACATACTAAACCTATTATAACTTATTAAATTATAATATAATAAAAGTGCAGAAATGTGAAGAGAAACGTTGATATGAATTATGCAATAAATTATTAAACGAAAAAGAAATGTGTGTATAAATTGTAAATGTCTGGTCACGAGAGACGCCGCTTTTATATGTCAAATGTATAATGCGTTGTTAATGCGGTAATGCAGCGAATCGTTACTTTCCTATTCATGCAACAACTGCTATTGTAATGTCAATTGTTACGAAGGGTACAATCTTTTGAGTTGCCACTATATTTTTTCGTTTTTATACTAATTTTTATACTATTGTAAAACATTGGTTGCATTTTAGTTTTATAATATAACATATATGTATGTAAGTATATATTATATTATTATTTTTGCACAGTTAACCATTTTAAGTATATTAATGCGTGCTGTTTTATTTTGTTCTTTATTTTCATTTATTAATACTTAAACATAGGCCATTTACTACAAATTTTCAGACTACGGTCATAAAATGCAGTGTAGATATTTATTCAATACTAAAATTCCAGGGGTCATAGATCAACCTCACAAATGCAGCAGCCAATACGGGGCGTTTGACCAATCAATGCAGCCAACAAAAGTTAAGTATACTATTGTTAGATTTAAAAAGCAAACGCAGTATTGGTGCAATAGGACACGCACTGCTCACTCTAAAATAATTTTTGCTTCCTTGCCATCGATGTAGACTTTTAAACCGTTGCGTAGACAGAAATCGCGTTTGACATGCGCAAACAGCAAGTCGGTCACCAGGAATATCTATAAAGCAATTGAAAATAATATACAAAATATATTTTTTTCATGATAAATTGAATCATGCTTTTTTCACAAACAAAATTTGCGTAGCTTACTTGTCCCGTGGAGAAAGCTAACGTTGTGCCAAAGTAGAAGTTAGCATTCGCCGAGCCGGAATAAATCCACAATTGCCACAGCGCCGGCATCATTGATAAGGTGACCACAAAAAAGCAGAACACCACAAAATTATGCGCCATAACTGTGTATTATGACAAAGTTAATTTGGTTTCTTTTGTTACAATTTAATGAGCGTTAGCACACTTACACTTCCAGCAGCGACGCCACAACGGTAACAGAGCCAAATAGAAACTAACATCACCAACACTGGGATACGAACGGAATATAGACATTAATGCAATGAGCACTGTGGCTAATAACAAAGGCTCTTTGCGCAATTTAAGTGATAATGGCACAAGGTAGAGGACGGTTGCGTTCATTTGGAATGTGATTAGGAACATTGTGCGAAAGTGTTCGAACATTTCCGTAAAGAAATACCAGAAAAGTCCGATATTTGGTTGTAAATCACGGTAGAAGAAACTAATTGAGTAAAAAAGCGAACAAAAATCAGTTAATATTTTAAACAAAAAAGTTAAACACTTACATAAAACCAAGTGTAGCATCTATGAAGCTCCAGCTATGGATTATAGCATAGTTGAAACCGGTGATTGCTAGACAAGCTGCTGCGAATAACGCCAAAACACCAATGGCACCGGCGGTAGTGGATTTTGAGCGCTGTGTAAAAACCAATACAACTGGTGCAATTAGCACCAGCGGATACAGATTACGCATTGTTTCCAGCGCTAGGCAAATAACACAAGGTATTAAATGGCGTTGCACGAGAAAATAGAGCACGAGTGCTAGCAGAAAATTGCTAAATACTGTCGACGTGAGACCAGCACAACTGAGCAATGACAATGGGTTGAAGAGATATGCCAGTAATACACAACGCGGTATCACATCCATATCTGAAGCCTGCACTTGTAACTCCTCGGTGCCAACTGCAAACTGTAGTGCTTCTGTTTTTTGCTCAACAAGTTTTGTGCGTACAAATTTTTGTGCCAACTTAAACAATAGTGTGGCTGTTAGTAAATCGACTAGTATGTAGAATATTGGCACAATGCTTGATATAGCACTAAAAATCCGTACAAGCAGTACTAAAATTATTGGCAGCTCATGCACCACATCGCCGATGTAGGGATCAATGCCATTTTCATATAGATATATGCCCTCTTGAACTGTTTGTGTGAAATTTGGAATAATTAATGAATATTTATTGCACTATTTTAAGCCAACTAACCTCGTTTGTATGAGTTTATAGGTGTTGATACTTCTACTCTTTCACCAATCCACTGGAAGCTATGCAAGTAGTAGCGCGTTAGGCCACCAAGCGCCACCAGCAGGAAAAACTTTTTTTCCATATTTTTCAACAATAATTCGAAATTGATCTCTATTCACCGGCAAAATATTCCCTGTACGCCGATTAAACAAACAAATCCTGACGATCAAATTGCAATTGGTTTTTTATAAACATATGAAAATACTGGGTTGCCAAGCCTGCAATATTTAAAATCACGTAAACAATACTAAAATAGAGGATATTTATGAAGGCATACAAAAAAAGTTTCGAACTTGATTTGTGAAAAAATTTTCAGGAGAACAGTAGAGTCTTATTTTTTAAATGCTTACATATGTTTATAGAAATAAATATATTACCAGAAAGTCGGTTAAATCACCCGCTAACTACCCAACAGCCCTCCCAGATATTTCTTTTAAAGTTTCTATGAGTTTCTCAAGTCCCAATTGACAACTCTAACCGAAATCTAGTATATGTGTGATTGTTTATCTCTTTGGTATGCAAAGACCTTGTGAGTTGCACGGTGTATATGAGTTTTTATTTCAGCCTTAATTCTTTTAATGCATTGGAATTCCGGTAGCCACGAGTTGCTGGTTTTGTATTCCACATTTTCTACACATTTTATATTTCTTAGTCAGGCAACTCTTTGCCAAACGGTCATTGTGAATGGACGTTTAAGAAGAGTAAGTTTTTATTTACATCGCTTTTAATGGAATTTTGTGTAATTTGCTAAAATATATTTAAATAGAAGAGGATTTGATTGGCATAATAAACAATGGGCACCGTTGAGAAGAACAACATTCTCGATAATGAAACACTTAACGAAATCACTAAAGAATTCCAAGAAATAACTGAAGATCCAACACAATTCCTACTTGTGTAAGTATTGCACGTGGTGTTATACAAAATAAAATAAATTAACTTTTTAATTTTTCAGTGTGCCTACAAAAAAGCAGGAAGATATAAAAGCATTATTACAAAAGACGTATCAAGCTTGTGTACGGAACGATGAAAGTAGTAAGAATGCGCTTGAAATACTGCCGGAGCTCGTTGTGGAGGACATGGATGAAGAACAGATTTGGCAACAGTTGGAGCTCCGCAACAATACAATATTGTCAACCTTAGTAGAAAATGCTTCCAAGTTATTGTCACTTAAGGAAGAGAAACTGGAAGTGCGACTAGATGAAGAAGATGATCAAGAAATAGAAGAGGAGCTAGAAGATAGTGAAAACGGAGCAAAAGATAATTCGGGAGATGCAGATTTATTTAACAGCGAGGTCGATGACGAAAGCGACGAAGAACAAAAAGTCTTTCAAAAAAAGCAAAAAATCAAAAAGAAACGTCAGGGGCGCACATCAGTGGTGGATGATAAATTCTTTAAGTTGAGCGAAATGGAAGCATTTTTGGAGGATGAGGACGCAAAAGAGATGCGACGCAAAAACAAAAAGGGCGATAACACGCTGGATGCTACGGTCGACTATTTTGCGGACGATTTTGGTGTAGAGGGTGAGGAGGAGGATGAGGAGGATGCGAATCCAGCATACAAAGACTTTTTCGATGAGGAAGATGAAGATGCCGAGGAAAGTCTTGGAAAACAAACCAAAAAGCAAAAGGATCATTTCAAAGAAGCGCCTAGTGACGAAGATGAAAATATGAGTATAGATGGAAATGAAGATGAAGATGAAGAAGAAGATACTGAAGAGGATGAGGAGGATGAAAATATGCAAAGTGAAGATGAAAATGCTGAAAGTGATAATGAAGTCAAAACTACCCATGAAGGCTTACAACCTGCATCTTCAGGCTCTGATGATTCCGAAGATGAGGAAGACCACAAAGATCCAAAGCCACAATCTTCATTCGAAATACGACAGGCGCGTTTGCAGCAGCGCATACGGGAATATGAAGAGGAAGTGCTAGGAGAAAAACCATGGCAATTAAGAGGTGAAGTGCAAGCCCCTAGCAGACCGGCGAATTCACTACTTGAGGAGTTGCTTGAATTTGAATCAACCGTACGACCAGCGCCTATCATAACCGAGCACACAACACGCTGTTTGGAGGATATAATCAAGCAACGTATAAAAGATCAAGCATGGGATGACCCGCAGCCAAAATTGAGACCGGTGCAAACGCCAAATGAATTCCGCAAACAATTGATATTAGATCATGAGAAGTCCAAAGAGTCACTGGCGCAAGTCTACGAAAAAGAATATCAAAAAGAATTAAATAAATTCGATTTAAATCGTGGCGACGCCGCTGAGGAGGAGCCGAAAGAGCATAAGGAAATAAAACAACTTATGCGTGAGCTATTCGTTAAATTGGATGCTCTTTCGAACTTCCATTTCACACCGAAACCGGTGGCGCCTGAGGCCAGAATCATAACCAACACACCGGCAGTGAATATGGAGGAAGTAGCGCCGGTAGCTGTTAGCGATGCTAAATTGCTGGCGCCCGAAGAGGTCTTCCGCGGACCGAAGAATGAGCTACTCGGCAAAACAGAACGCAATCGCACGGATAAGAATCGCGAGCGCCGCAAGAAGAAGCAGAAGCAACGTGTTATCAATCGCCTATTAGACGAGAAGAACAAGAAGAAGCAAGAGTTGGGCATAGCGCCAACAAAGAAGGCGGAGAACGCCAAGCTGCTTAAGTCACTCACAAAGCATCGCAATGTCGAGAAGGTACAGATTTCTTACTTTACTACCTATTCAATTTTTACGCTCTGAACAGGGTATTTAAAGTTTGCAATGATGTTTGTAACACTCAGAAGGAAACCTCAGAGACCCTATCAAAAAATATTTATAACTGATCTGTGCGAGGAGCTGCGTCAATTTAAACTGTCTGTCTCTGTCTGTCTGTATGTACATACACGAACTAGTCGCTTAGTTTTTGAGATATCGGTCTGAAATTTATCACATGCCCTTTTCTCTCAAAGAACCTGCTCATTTGTTCGAATCGCCGATAGTAGATCACTATAGCATAAAGCTGCCATACAAACTGACAAATCAAAATCAGGTTCTAGTATGAAACCCTTTTTAATTTGAGAAGGCTACAATCTCCGAACAAATTGTTCAGATCGCACCACTATAGCATATAGATGGTACATACAAACTGTTCGATCAAAATCCATGACAGTCGGGTCTAAGTAAACGGTATAAATAAAGTCTTTGTGTGGAAAACTTTTTATCTGAGAAGATATCTTCACGAAATTTGGCATGGATTTTTGATAGCATCACTATAGCATATAGCTGTATAGATCTTATAAGGAAACTTTTTTTTTTTTTACATATGAAGAGTATTAAGCTTCGATGTAGCCGAAGTTGACGTTTATTTTTTTTTTTTTTTTTTTTAATATATATTTTCTGTTTTACAGTTAAACACTACTAGCGACGATCAGCGCGCACTGAAGTCCTCCAAGTCGTTCTTCTCCAAATTGCAGGACACCACCAGCGTGACGGGCCAAGCTGCCATTGCGGCAAAGGCCAAAAAGCAAAAATCCACTGGGAAAGCGTTGACAGCGAAAAGAGTGAAATTGTAATAATTCCTATTGTGGACTTTGTTAGTAATAAAGAAGTTTATTTTATTATATTACCTATGTACATATGTTTGACGTGCTAACTAATGCTACAGGATACGCCTGCTTATTAGTCTAAAAACACACTTTCTTCCAAAATATTTATTTGTTTGTGCATAATGTGTGACGTCAACTTTGGCGCGTACATTTCTAATGTAGCAATTTTGTGCTGTGCACCAAGTCACGTGCCGCAACAATTAGGCTGCTGCTGCCACTAGAGATAACTATGTGTGTGTGTGTGTGTATACGTAGTTGCGCGCGTCGGTAAATTCAAAGCAGCAGGAAAAGTTACTTTTTATTCATGTTTGTATGTGCAAAAGTCAGCAGATTTTGTTACAGTTAGGCGGAAAACGGTATGTGGTAAACATAGCTCGAAACAGCAGATCAACAACTTAAATATGCCACAATTTTAGACATAGTGTGTGGTTCATGTTTATATATATGTATATATTTGTGTTTCTGTGTTTGCATGTGTGTGCCACAGACCATAGGGGGTCACAAAACTATGCGCGCGTGTCAAGCAAAAATAAAATGGACTTGCAAATATGATAACTTAATAAGCCATATACATACATATATACATATATACAGATGCATGTACGTATGTGTGTATATATGTTAATATGTAAGTGTATATATGTTTTAAAGTGTGTGTGTCTATTACTAGCCGTCGCAGCATTCAAAGATTACGCTCATATGCGTGGGTTGGCATTGAAATTTGTATAAAAAAAAAGTAAAAAGGCCGCTTTTAGTATATAGTTTGGTGCAGAAATTTTAATAAGGCTGTGTAAGCAATCTCTGTTTGTATGTTTTTGCAACCGTGGTTTGTCATCAATGGAAATTCACATTCTCTTTGGACGTCATAGGCGCCATTGTGCACCTAGTTAAGTATTTAAACAATGCAGATTAACATAGTTACAATACTATATTTAGTAGTATAAATGAACTACATATTAGGGTGTCCGTTATTTGCCAATTTCATTTTTATACCCTAAACAACATATATTAAGTTTGCCACGAAGTTTGTAACACTCAGAAGGAAGCGTCGGAGACCCTATAAAATGTATATGTGTAAATATAAAAAAAAGCGTGACGAGCTGAGTCGACTTAGCCATGTCCGTCTGTCTGTTTGCATATACGCGAACTAGTCCATCAATTTTTAAGATACCGATCTGAAATTTTGCACATGTCCTTTTGTCCCTAAGAAACCGCTCATTTGTCGAAATTGTCAATATCGGATCAATCAAGTTCTTGTAAGGAAAATTATTTTATTTGACAAGAAATCTTCATGAAATTTCGCATGGATTACTGTGCAAGGCAATGCTACAATCTCAGAATATATAATATATATTAGATCGGACTACTATAGCATACAGCTGTCATACAAACTGAACGATCAAAATTAAGATGAAGATCTTTATATGCTATAAAAAATACACCCATTGAGGGTGTTGTAGCTTCGGTGCAACGAAAATTTAGTTTGTTTTGTTTTTGCAAAAAAGAGCATTCATATTATACAAGCGACTTCAACATTTTGTGTTGCTCATACGACATGGTGTACTTTATTAATACAGTACATTGGATGCATAACTTTAATTGCATATAACTTTTAAAGAAATGTTTTTATGAAAAAAAAAATCATTAAGAGCTTTTTTGTAGCGCAGAAAATTTTTATATTATCACACTTTGAAAGTAGTAAATTTATTTGTTTAGGGGATAAAAATTGTTTGCAAAAGATTAAAAAATTCCGTGTTAAAACTTTTCGAAAAATGATATAGCAGCGTTTTAAATTGCAAATAAAAAGCTTGTTTACGTAGGATCATTTTTTTAAAGGTAGAAACTGTATATTTTTTCTAGAGCAAAAAATTTTGTGTTAGAATATCGTTTTGCGAAATTGTAGGTTTAGTAGCTTTGGAGTTAAAAAGTTAATGCAAAATAGAAAAAATTCCATGTTAAATATTGAGATAATAAAATTTATATATATATTATAATGAAAAAATAAAATTTATTTAGGCAGGATTTAAATAGAAAATAAAATGCTTGAAACTTCAGGAGTAGTTTGCACAAAAAAAAAATCACCTTGGGGAAAATAACAGACAAGCTATCAATTTTTTCCATAGTGTCTTGGTGCAACAGACGGCAAGAACTACACATACGTACATGCTTAATGAAGCACACTGCATTTATAGCAGCAGCGCATATATCATAAAAAATCACAATGCACTCATATACATATGTAACTCATATGTTCATTCATTCGTATTATTCAAAAGTACAATAATAACGCTTGATTTTCTCTGCCACACTGTCACCGAGTTTCTCGCTTGCTATAAATGTGTATGTATATAACAAACCATATTGTCAATATTATGCAATTTGTTGCTCATCAATGACAAATATATAATAAATTTAGATTCAATTGATTTTAAAAAATATTTCAACTATGAACTACAAACGACAATATTTATAACATCGTTTTTTTTTTTATTGTCAACGTAGATGGCGTTAGCATTAATTTGTAATAAAATTTTGCTGTGCTTCTAGTCTATGGGCGAATACAACACTTTGAAATATATAAATAAACACATGATTGTATTTAAATATCCATACTGACAAAATAATTATATTTTCACGTATTTTAATATCAATCTTTATTATCGCAAAATATTTGCAAAAGATTCAGGTCTTTTGGTACGAGTCTAGCATTGACACGCTTCGTACGCAAAACATAAAAATACACACTAATTGACATATGAAGATTAAACGTTAAACGAATATAAAAGAAGGATAAACCAATCTAGCAAGAAATACATATTACGCTATAATGTGTTAGAAAGTTAAAATTCGCACTTAAATAACATCTCAGAGAGTTTTGCGGCTGCTTGTCTCAGTAAGCAATCGCCCAGAAGCGACCAGTTTTGGCCAATGGAGACGAATTGTGTTCCCTTATGACAATACCAGACCACCTACATATAGCATAGTTACTCGCCAGAAGCTAGGATAGTTTGGTAGTTAGGTTCTTATGCAAGCACCTTATGGAGTTATGGTTCCAGTCTGGACTTGGAACCAAGTAATTAAACACTTAAACTTTTATTTTAATGCAAATATAATGGATTTCTTTCTACTAGACCTTGTACCTATATATAAACAATCCAATCCGGTACTCATTTTTGTCCACAGAGACTATACAACTTTCGTTGTTGATTTACGTGAGTACCTGCCGGCGACGGCCTTACCTCACGGTGTTCCAAAGCACAACGTACCAATACAATGCGTTGATAAGCGCCCCAAACAATACGAGCTATTTGCAAGTACTAATTTGGTTACCAGTGGCAGTGTGTCTGGGTCCACACTACCATCTTGGTATGATTCGAGGCCGACCTAAAACCTCTTCCGTTTTCGGGTACGGAACCCAGTTGCTTTTTGCAACTTTATTTTAGAACTGAAAAAACAGTTAGGCTGAATTTTCAGTTCTTCCTGCATTTAGGTTTCAACCACAGCCACCACGAATCTCCCCAAAGGGGCCATAACCCAATGAGCAGATTGGACCGAAGTGCAAGGGCTTTCTGCTCCCCGTGGTACCAGAAAGTCTCCGGTAAGATTGTGTAGCCGAAACTACTGCCAGTTGAGCAACCCATTACTCAATGACTGGTGACATTTGTCGCTTGAACTTCAAATGTCTTTTTATTTGCTTTTTCATTTAAAGTCTATAATATCAGTTCAAGCTGAGTATTATAGCACTATTTCTGACATACTATGCTGATTAATATCAGCTGAGCAAGGTACATAATAACAGTCATAGTGCATATTGGCTTTTAGTCGCCTCTTACTACAGGCATGCCTTGCCGCATTTTTATATGGTCGTAAGTCTCGCTAGTTAATCAGGCTATAAAAGGTATTTCCATTTCAGCCACCATATTGGAAATGCATTTATACAAGAAAACCAATACTAATACCTTTGAGAGTTGGGTCCACTTAATTACCATCATTAGAACTCTGCAACTATATGCTTTTCCAATAGGGATGATATGATTTCTAAGTGTTTCGGCAATTTTTCATGACTAATGAACTGTAATTATTTTTTTCATTATATTTAGTAATGTTTACAATTTCATCATGAAAAGATATACGCAACAAAACTTTTACAAATTATTCAATTTTATTATAAAAATAATCGTTCTCTAATTGCAACTTTTCGTGCGCTTTTGCCATTTTTTGGTCGTTATGGTTATGGTGAGTATTGCGGTAAATAAACAAAGAAAATCCACAAATTATGCCTGAAAAATCATTACCTTCACCTAAATTGACAATTTGGTGTTATTTTTGGTCTGGTGAAATGAATCATCGGTCCGTACTTCTTTCGAAATGAAGCTGGTGACACCGTTACTATTTATGGAGAGCGGTAAAGATCGATGATAACCAATTTTTTATAAGCGCAATTGGAAGTAGTTGTTCTTGACAACATCGGATTTCAACAAGACGGAATTAACAATTAGTAGGTTTTTTTTTAAATCTTATCACTCTTATTGGAAAACCCAGTTCAAATACTATTGCCATTATTATCTTTTGATATCCTAGAAAATAAATAGTCGGAGTTATATTACAGAGAAAAAGTTAGCTGTTTGAGTTTGAAGGGAATTGCAAATAGGATTAGTCAAATGGCGGCAGAAGATTTGTATGTTGAGTCCAAACAACACCGAGGCTAGGTAAACTGGAGTTTAACTCTTTCTAGTCTACTGTAAATGAGATCAAGTGTTTGTTTAAAGATCATTAACTTCGACGTTACACGACTTAATGTATATAAGATGTAGCTTTGCTTAGAGCATGTGACTGCTGTGATGACCTTACGAAATAGTAGCCTAAAGTATACCAATTTCCGTTTAAAAATAGTTAAATAGTTCATCTGGTTATAACTAGAACCGTGAACACCGTTTACGATCTAACTCAAGGGTATCTAAATGTGGTTATCAAGTGGACAGAGAGAAATGGATTAGTCATTAATTCAAAAAGAACTGAGCTAATTTT